ACGTTTGTACTAAAAGCGACATTTATAACATGCTCATTGAGAAACGTGAAGTTTGTATCGCAATTACTAAATCTATGTCACCATTACCTTTGTGAGTTTCCACTCTTTTAATGTTCGTTTTGACTGCCAAACTTTTACCAAGTTCTTTTGTGGCAGTGATTACAAATTCATAGCGGAGCTCGCAGTGCGCGTAGCGAAGCACCACTATTATCAAAATTGGTAACTCTCAAGCCGAAAAAAAAAAATTAGTTTTCACGAGAGCGTTTGTACGGAGAACAGAGAACAGGCTAGCGTGCATATGTGGGTGACTAAGAATTCGGGTGTATTTGCAGTAGTAAACATATTGGCAACCTGATATAGTGAGCATACTCGAATTTGGTGACCCAGTGCAGTGCAACGCGGGCATAATCCGTGGGCATAACACGAGGCCTTCGCGTGGGACAGCTGGACAGGGAGGGAAAACATCAGCGCATGCGTGGTGTGAGCATGTTGAACTTGTCGTTGGCGCGCTTTTCGATCGTTTGATTAACTGTGCATTCGTGGTATTTTGCCTTTCAAACTGGAGTGTAAGAACACTATTTGAAAACAACTTCTGTTAACTGAAATCTTCGATATATTGAACGTGTTATTTTGGAAAATGTTGTTGCTTGCTATAGAGCCAACAAGTTCCGGAATTCAATACTCGATAAGGAAGCCCACTGTGAGCTTAATTTCTTTGAGTATAATTGATCTCTATTATAGACAATAAACTGACATTGAAATTAATAGAAGGTAAATAATACCATGATTTAGTAATAAATGTGAATCTCTTAGAAAATGGAACTTTTTATCAAGGCGAAGGGAAAGCAAACCCAACCTACACGGCTCTACGTGTACAAATTTAAATCGATGCAAAATATCGCGTTACCCCATGCTTAGCTCCAGCACAGGTTACAAAATTGCTTTACATATCACATCAGAGGAACTTAGCATTCGTTACAGTCTCAAGGGTGTATTGGAAATTATTGATTTCCCATTGCACGAGAGAAGCTCTCATGAACGCTGCCACTCAGCAAAAGCCACATGAGATCCACTGTTCTCGCGAAAGTGCTATTCAAGAGAAAAATTCCTTGGGAATTTGGAATAAATAGAACTGTGTTGGAACTCAAAATGAAAACAGAAGCCGGAATCGCTTCAGGATTAATGCTGACAGGGAGTTCGGGACCCATAGTGGTATGACCGATGATATGGTTTATTGCTGTAGGGATTTGCAGAGCTTGTTGGACACCAAAGGTCTGAGGAGAGTTTTGTTTGATTAAATCATAGATCCTGTTGCCTAGTAAGATTCCTTAAACAATCATCTGGTACACCCACGTCTGACTGAGTAGACTGGTTATTACAGAAATATTCACATCGGATGAATAAAACAATTTTCTAAGCATTAAGGTAATGAGTGTTCATGAGTTGCTTCCAGTTTTGCCAAGAATTGCTGACTGTGAAACAGTGCTCGGAAAGAACCAAAAAGTGACATTACCACGTTTATGGTTGCGTGCCGCGGGTCTCTGGCGCACGCGCAGACGTTTTTGTCCCTGTCTGCCAGCTGACAACCCGCGTAAGCAATGGTTTTGAGCGTGAAATAATTTTTCAGTAATTTGCGAAGTTATTATATTGGTAGAAAAAAGCTATGTCATCTGGAATAAATTACCTCACATCAAATTTGTAGGGAAATAGGAAAAAGAAGTCAAAGCGTAGAGCGAGTCGTGAACGACACGAAGGAGGGTGAGAAAGGACTCGACCAAATGACAAGAAGCACGGGAAAGAGGAAAGGTTCGCAATAAATACCTTAGACGGGTTCTTACATGTCAGTATTGTGAATATCAAATTACCGCGTTCAACTTCCTTGTGAATATGAAAATCGCTGACTCAACCTAGCTAACATTTCAATTCACGGAAAGGCCATTGATTCAAATTTAAGGGTAAGACCACGCATCTTTAACGTATGAGCGAATCTTTTAACTAGATAACAAATAAACCGTGCAGTATTACTGAAATTAATGTTTGAACGCCTACTCAATCACCAAAATTTACCCTCAAAACCACTGCTTACGCGCGGGCTTCGCGTCCGCCGGCCAAACGAAGCCCTCGTGTTCTGCCCCAATATTATGCCCTTGTGTTATACCCTCGTGTTATACCCTCATGTTCTGCCTGCGCCTTGCCGTATACTGCACTGTGTCACCGCATTCGAGTATGTATGCGCACTTTATCGGGCTGCTCTTATGTTTACTAGCGAAAGCGCACCCAAATTCTTAGTTATATGTATGCACGCATGTGTATTCTCCTCTCCTTTCTCCCAGGGGTTCACCTTTTGCGTATTTAAGGTAAGTAAGGTAAAGTCTGTTTACGAGCCTGGTGGCCCATTAGGCCGGTGCTTAACTCCGGTTTCTGTAACATGAAGCGACTAGAAGTATTTCTTCTCCCCTTGGATGGGATGCCAGTCCATCGCAGGGTTACCCCCAGCATTAAATTGCCGGTACCCATTTATACACCTGGGTGAAGAGAGGCACTGTGAGAGCAAAGTGTCTTGCCTAAGAACACAACACAATGTCTCGGCCGGGACACGAACCCGGACCACTTGATCCGGAGTCGAGCGCACTAACCATGAGGCCACCGCGCCTCCACACTTTTGCGTATTTACTGCTAAGATTTGTGCCACCAATTCAAGTGTTCGCGCATGCTAAAAGTAGCACCTCGTAGATACGAACGGTCGTACGATCACAAGATTTTTCCGAGTTTTCACTAAGTTTTTGGGCTTGATGGGTTACTAATTTTGATAATAATGGTGCTTCGCTGCGCGAGCTGCGAGCGTCGTTACAAGTACTCAAGTACTCACGCGGTTGTTGCTTTTCTACTGAACAGGGTGAGTTTTTAAAAATCTTCGTCTTCATCTCATCTACCTCTCCATAAGACTAAAGTAAGAGTCAAGTTATGATGTGGACGATTATTGTCCTTGTACAGAATGCGACAAGTCGCCTGTCATTTGACAAGGATAATACAATTTTTCAGTTGCTTGGAGCACCGATGGAAATGATAATCGATCAGTTTCGTCGTATTTTACTTCTTCTTTTGAAAAAAACTGATCAAAATTCTGTCGTAGAGTAGTTTAAAAGGGTAATGAACATAAGAGACGGGTCCCCAGCCCGATGGAGTGTCCAAATAGACTCACCCCACAAAATCATACTTCGAGTGAGTTCTAATGAAAGCACCGCCTGACCCTTCGTTATCATTTTCGTAGTTCGATACACATTTTCCTACAAAGCGCCCACAATCAGCAAATTTGAACACTGCTTAAGCGATGATATGGCCTGTTTAGTTAAAGCTGGTTCTTCAAAACGCTGTCGTCCATGTGTCGCCTTCCTTTAAACGTGAAAATCCGCAACACTTTAAAATTCTTACAACGCTTCGACATTCGAATACCAAGATAGGTTCCAATTGAAAATTCGCTGTAATCAGACGAGAACGACGAACAACTTTCCCTTCAAAACCAATATCTTCTGTCACAACATACATTTCTCTCTTTTAGTTATCAATATCGAGTCCATGGGTGCTCCGTACATCAAATAACTGATGCAGCTCCTTGAAACAAAAACAAAAGCTCGCTTTTAAGGCACAGCAAACTTTCTACCTCACTCAATCCATTATTGTTTAACAGCAACCTTCCCCTCTTCCTTATCATCTTTTTCGGTTCCCAAATATTACCACCTCGTGACTCTAAGAAACTGATTTACGTTTTAAAAGCTTTCTCTAAAGAAATGAGATATAAACAACAGCTTTGATAACATAACGTTAACTCTGAATACGCACGCTATCACTGAATTAATAAATAGAGAAGCCTTGACTGCGTTCTGTTCCGTTGTAGAGAACGAAAGAAATGTCGGGAGAAACATCTGACTTCGTCTCGTAGTTCTCGTGTTTCCCCCCCCTTTCTTCAGAACAGAAGTACATTTGTAGTTTGGCAAGTCGAAGTTAACACTTGTCTGAAGTGTTTTAGTCTCAGTGTTCGGTGAATTTTTCGGTGAAGCACGGCCGGATCGTGGCTTATAAAACACGCAAGTTTTTTTAATTTTGCACATGAAAATTAGAAAACAAACTGCTCAAGACGTGTCTCTTACAAATAAATAACAGCTAGCTGGATTCACAGAAACACTGAAGATTGCTCGCGAAGACAGCGCCGTAAAAGTGACTGACGTGGCCTTCCACTCAACGTATTACAGGATATCAGAGCAAGTTCTTAGTTGTTCACTCAAAGGGTGGACGTTGTAATGTCCGTGGCTTGCTTCACTACGATGATTGGAGATGGCCTTAATGAGCTAGCCGCGATGGACCTCAGCATGAGGTGACCACAGTTGCTCAGACACAATTATGATTTGTATGAATTTTAACAGTTTCACTAGTTTGGTTATATTAATTCCTGTTCCGTTCAGTACGGATGGTACGAATCGCACAACTCGTGAATGCATTAGACGATCCGCATCAACAATTCAAAGAAGCGTATTAGTTTCGAGATCCACAATTTTTAAAGTCGACAAATAAAGGCTCGCGGGAATTAATGGGATTTGAGACCCAAAAATTTAGAGGAGAGACCCAAACCGATATCCACAAATGCTGTGGTACTATGCATGTGCGATTGTTATAGGATGAAAACGTCTGAGATTTAGACAGATTTGCGTATTTGGAGGGCCAGTAAACAGTCGTGGAGTTTCAGAAGTCCCGTTTGTCTTTACTTGTCCTGTCAAATTATTGTCTGGGTGTTTAAGTAAGGCGTGGGGATGGATAGCTGACAAATTAATCTTTACACGAGATACTTTAATGTGGAGGTAAAAACCGTGCACCGCCCCACCCCCTCCCCCCAAATAAGTGCTTCTTACTTCTGACTATAGAACCTCACCTGTATCTCACATGATGAGTTTTACCAAGTTCATGAATATCTCAGAAATTTGAAATTGTGCAACAGTTACCACGCCTTGTGAGAAAGCATTGGAATATTTATTGCGCAGATTTGAAAGCACAGTTTAAATGAAAATACATGTTTTGTCTAAAAAAGCCCCTTCATTTAACAATTATTTGCGGGAGGTGAAGAGAGAATTGTTGAATAATCCCTGAGACCAAATCGAGGGGATTACTCAACACTCTTTACTGAGCCCAAGGGGAAAAACCGTTTTCGTACAATTGCTGCTTAGGTGCTTTCGAAGTCTGTTGTAAATACGTTTTGTAAATAAAAAATTACAAATTCTTAGCACAACAAAAACTTCATAGCACTCTTTTGAAAACCGTCACGTCAAACTTTTCAGTATACTTTGTGCTTTTCAGAGTTGTATTTTCTTTTATCGCGTTCATCCCTTCCTGCGTAACATTGACAAAACGCGAGGTAGCCATTTTAAAATTTGCCTCGCGTGAGGTGGTTATAGCGAAATATGACGCAATCCTTGACCAATGAGAGGGCGCGCATCTCTACAATCCCAGCAGCAATTATACTAAAAAGCTATAACACGTGGCGAAAAATTTGGCTGGCAGCTTTTAAAAGTCGTTTGCATAAAATCGTTCGTCTTTCAAGACTAAAAGCTTAAAAATATCTATCAATAATTATACAAAAAGCTGCACTTCGCCTCGCTTTGCTGTTAAACAGCTTGTTTTGAAGAGTTGCTTTATCACCAAAAAATATGGGTTAACTTGAAATCTATAAGATCTCATAGGGCTGCAATATTCAGTACTTAATCCTTTCCTGTTTACACTCGCTTACTCGGTTAGATCGTCAACATTAACGTAGAGTCGATCGTCGTAACTTTTTAAGTTTATCAAACCCTGCAGGAAAAAAAAGAAATGTGAGAAAACAATATTATGAAAAGAAACGGGTATAAGTTATTCTGTACTGTTAATTTTTCGATGCCTCCTTCATTTTTTTTAACCAAGAAAGAGAGCAGCTTTTTTACACAGTTCATATAAGATAGAGCAGTTTTAAAGTGAGTGTCGAAAAACTGAACCCAATGTACTCACAACTATCCATCAGAACAAAGGTTAACATCATTATTAACCAACGAGAACTCAAAGTAAAATCAGGTGACCCAGCCGCTTGAAGCGCGGGAAAACGCGTGTGATCAACTTTGGGTTGGTTGTAGTTTTGCATCTGATTGGTTGGAATGGTGGCATGAATTTTCTAGACTAATGACAGAGTAAAGTAACTAAAACCAAAGCAACTCTGGATCACACTCCATACTCAATTGAAAACTGCTACACAGGCGAAATAAGTTGATACCATAAACTACGCTTCGAGATCTTCATGGTGGCTGCAGTTGATGGTGGTAGATTCTAACAATCAAACTTTGAAAAGAACAAAACCAGAGAAAGTCTCTTTGTAAACTCTACAATTCTACCTTGTGCTGGTTTTCCATTTCTTTGAGTTTTTTCCTCAAATTTTCAAAACATGGTCTGAGGTTAGGGTCGGCTTTCCAACAATTTGTCATTATGCCATACCTAAATCACAAGGAAATCACCAAGTTTCCTAGTATGTCATTGGTGGCCTAGGCCTTGGCTAAAGACTAGTGTCTTTAACGTGAAAAAATGGTGCGACGAAGGAAAAGTTTAATTAGAAACAGCTTGGCCTATCCTTGATGAACAAGCTTTTTAGTTTAAAAATTCCATATTTTTTAATAAAGGACAAATGATCCATACATATACCACCTGATACTGAACCTCTTACACTTCTCTTAGTTAAGCAGGATCAACAAGTAAAAGCGGGGAAATAATGAGGCGCACAACAACTCAAACAAAAGCAGGACAAATACTACTGTAAGATAAAAGCCATTAGAAAAAAAAACAACAACACGATATCAACCTACAATTTATCATCCACATGTTTTGGTTTAGGCATTCTGTATCCCTCTTGAAGTAAGTTTGCAATTTTTCTTCCATCCATTCGTGGATACGGTGAACCACCTAAATAAGAGAAGCTAATGTTAACACATTCTGCAATGAAAGGCTCTACATATTTTTTTTCTATTTCCACACAACGCTACCATTCTCGAACCATTTAAAGTTTTTTTCAGCCAAGACAAGCGACTGTGGCAATCTTAACTGGCTTGGTAAGACCAATACCAAATTCTACAGATGAAAAAGGGGGTTTATGAACTGAGTCTATAATGTGAATTAGCCACCGTAAAGAGTTTCAAAGCTCAAGTTTCGAGCGTTAGCCCTTTATCAGAACAAATGACGAGGGGCCGACGCTTGAAACGTCAGCTGTAAAAGTTATTACGGTGGCCAACTTACATAATTAACTCACTTCATATCACGTAATTTATCTCGTTAAATTCTGCAGAGACTGGTACACACTGCTTACTTAAATGACTTCGTGTCGCCTTAACTATTGAGGCTCAAATAATCAGCCTTGTAACTTACCAATCGTGAAAATCTCATAGAGGAGAACTCCATAGCTCCAACTAAAAAACAAAACGCGATGAATTTAAGAATATGAAATTACCTTCCTGCAAAAAAAATATTAAACATCTTAGGAGGGGAGGGGGAGGTAGCGAGGAACACAGTAGAAAAGTCATCCTTCTTGATCCCTGGTTAGCGTAGGTATAAAAAAAGAAGCCGTACTCTCTACCCCAATGAGAAACGGAAGGGACAAAACGTCACTCTCTTGAATGAAAATATAATAATAACTCTTAACTTTTAGTAGTTCACCGTTTGGTTCATTGTTTGGTAAATTATGTTTAGCTAAAGTTGGTGGTTTTTGTTTCTACTAACCTAAAAGATGGTTTACAGTGTCTTCATGGTCAAGTTTAGGGACAACAGCAATCTTCGCCGAGGCTTTGAAGGAAGTTTACGCGACTTTCAGAGATGGAGCAATTTCAAGAAGAAGGGCAGAAAGTCAAAGATATGTTTTGGGAAAGTAACAATGTTTTCGTTTCGTTACAAACAGCCCTTAGAACTGAAATATTTTAAAATACACCAACCGCGCCAGAAATAGCTGTCTTCTCTTCAACAAAATACAAAGACCAAAATACAGAAGGAACCCAATAACCTTTTTCAGACCTGAAAACAGTTCATACAAAACCATTCTCGTTGAGCCTAAATACAGTATTCATGCCGTCCCTGTACTCACACATCACTCTTTGTAGAATATTTTCCGTAAAGCAACGCCTCAATTGCAGTCCATTTCACAGGGAGACGCCCCTAGAAAAGGAGCAAAAATACTAGGATTCGGCTTAGTCTATAAAAAATACCAATGCTTCAAATGGCGAGAACAAAGCAATAAAAGTTCCAGTAAACTGAAGAGGATTTCCGGAGCTTGTTTTCTTTGAGCATTCACGCTAGCGAGGCATCTTCAGCCACATAATCCACAAGAACATTTAGTCTTTTTCTTTAAGTGAATCATTCATACCCTGGTTTTCCTTTCGTAGATGTTGTCCTCTTGCACATCTCTGGCCATTCCAAAGTCTGTCACTTTGCACGTTTCCTGTTCTCCCACCAACACATTACGAGCTGCAAGGTCTCGATGAATAACCTTCAGCAAAGAAAAAAAAGATACTTTTGAAAACGCCCTCTAACGAAACGAGAGATGAGGATGCCTCAGCTGACACGAGATGCCATCCTCGGCAATGAGTCCACGAGTAAAAAAAAAAAGTGAAGTACGGGGCCTTATTCTGTAACGACCTCACACAAAGAATAATTACATCACTCACTGGTATCGATGACAAATAGGACATTCCATCAGCGATTTGCCAAGCAAACTTCATCAGCTGCTGTGACGTCAGATTCGTTTGTGGTTTGATATCCGGGTCTCTGTAGTAAGTATCATTTAATCCACGGCTTCTTCTCAGGTAACCCAGCAGATCCCCAAAAGGAACATATTCGATCAACACCAACAGTGGCTCTGGTAAGACAAAGAAGGTACCGCCAATACTTGATTATATGCTGTACTCAGAAATGAATTCGGAAAATGAATTATGAAGGGGTAAGATGTCGATGTCACTGACCTGACATCATATTAAACTTTTAGTAAGAGCTGCACATGTGTTATCTTCATGGTATACCAACAGAGAGCCTTCCGCCTCGAAAAATGTTTATCTCTTGGCGGCTCAAATCCGCCATATGTGCGCAATTCTTATGAATGCAGTTTTAATTTCAGCCCATTTCGGTAAGTTTTGCTGATCTTAGATCTCAGGTATTGATTAAATACACACTGTTATTCAGCAGACATTATAAAACTGTGTCTATTTCTCTACTATCGGATGAGCCATACTCAGATCTCACACTTACTCACAAGAATACAATAAGGTCAAGCTTAGCAGATTTTAGCAGATTGGTTTAGCAGATTCTCCCAATGGTTAAACTAGTTTAACCAAGAGCACTGTATGGAACTCTGAGTGTGAGGTGCCGAAAGGTAGGGTCCCTGCTCTTCATGCACCTCAATCCCAAAGGTCTGCACGGCGCGCTTATATCAATTTTAATGTAGCGTTTTAAGGTTACTGGTCGTTTCGTACTCTGCCAGGTCAATTCGTACCCATTCAGTTGAGTCAATTCGTAGTCATAGTGATCAATATGTTTTCCATGTTAAGTATGTTAAGAGTATGGTCGGTCTCTTATTTCAAAGAGCAACAGTACCTGCCTTAAACAAGTTAGTGAGTACTAACTAAATTAAAAAGAAAGATATCTGTAGCTGAAGAGCCAAAATAGCGATATTTTAAAACCTTATTTCAGTTACTGGCATTAATCATAGCTGATGATGCACATTTTAGGATTTACCAGATTTGGTAACGCATCCAAGAAGTTTGATGACGTAAGGATGAGGTTGAATTTGTTTCATCATTTCAAGTTCAGATAGCAAATCTTTTCTCTCTGATTCAGAGGCGTTTTCTGCAATATGATTTCCGATTAATTATCGTCAAACAACATTTCACATAGAATCACAATTAAATTAACTGTACCATTAATATAAGTAAACATAAAGAGATAGATCAATAGCAAGATGACCGGATAGACAAGTAGACAGGTAAATAGTGTGATAAATGTATAGACAAAGAGATACAGCAGATAGAGAGAGAAAGATCGATGTATTTATAAACAGATAGACAGAGACAAATAGATTGATAGATAGGTAAGTAGGTGGATAGATAGATAGATAAATAGATATCATTCAGCTCTATCATACATCATATTTGAGGTGCTTTTCTTCGTAAACGTAAAATGCCTAGGTTTAAAATTGTGACAATCTTTTGAAGGTGAATGTTTACATTGCATCTTAAAACTGCATCGCTACATGAACTACAACAAAATCAAAGATTAATTGTTGACTGCGTCATTCTATGGAGGTACCTGTGAACTAGTCATACATAATGATTACTCTAAACAGGAACTTGGAGAATAGGCAGAAACATACGCTATAAAACAAAACAAAACAAAATTGAAAGAAAACAGAAAAATTTGGACAGAATTCTGAGTCTGTACAACATGATTTCATTATTACTTGGTACCTTTCAACAGTTTAACAGCTACGAGTGTCTTCTCGGCTCTTCCTTGTAAGTTATCGGCTGTTGCCTTGGCAACCTGACCAAAAGCACCTTTTCCAACGATCTGCATTATGGTCACATGTTCTCTAGCAATCTCCCAGGAGCGTGTGCATAGATTAGGAGAAGCATACTTGCTGATTTCTTCACTGCTGATTGGGCTGGCATCTGCCGTCAATTGTAAACGAGTTCTGTCATCCAGTGCCATGTAAAGGCTTTGAGAAGGTTTTGGCATTTCGACGGCACTCTTGGAGACAAAATTGTTTTCAACTCAACAACAGCTTGAAAACTGTTTTGAATCTTCAAACGAAAACTACACTAGAATATACTAGACTTATATGAAATTATAAAGAAATAATCGATTTGACCCACTGTTGTGGTTTCTCTCCTTTCATTACTTGAATTTCCAAATGTTCTGAAACAAAAACAGAAATATAATAAAAAACAAAACCAATCCCCTCTGCCTGAAAATTCCAAACTAACAGAAAACCTTTCCAGGTTTGAAAAAGCGACTTGAAACCGGATGTAGGCACGGCTACTGTCAGACATCTGTAAGCAGATGATAGGGTGGTCTGATCGTCCAGGTGAGTGCAGTCCTTAGAAGGACTGTTGTCGGTGGTGGTGACTGACGAGAACCTGTTCCGTTCGGTTCGTATGTAATGTGAGACGATAGTTTTTGGCGTGGGAAACTGGACTTCGCGTGAAAGGTACAAAACGGGGGAAAATAACTCGGTAGAGACCACTCGGCTTGCGAGAACGGAAACTCGTCATGTTTTCCTGGCACACGGAGATCTACTTCTAGCGAGCTTATACGGACGTCAAGGATGAGACAAGGTTTTGGTTCCACAGTAGACTTTATTCTAATTCAGGCCAATAACTGACATGACCTCTAGCCTCTTCAGTTTAGTTATTGGAAAACCATTACTAAGTGCTTACTTAAGTATTGAGCTGGTGTGAGATGCTATTGCTGTCTAAATTGACCATATTTGAAAAGTATAACAAAAGAAGCGGAAAAGGTCTCTGAATATAAACGAAGGCTGCTAAGAAACTTAGGTGAGAATTCATAGTTCTGGTATAGAAAATATACATGCCTTACTTGTAGTAGCGTAGCTTAGGAAATAAAAGTGGACAAGTAATTAATAGTTCTGCTTATCTATGCAAGGTTGGTGTGGAAACTATCGTATGAAAGGAAATTAAAATTACGAGCACAGACTCAGCTGCCAACTACCATGAGAAACAAATTTTCTAGAAAGACCATTTTAATGGTTAAAACACTTATATTTACCTAAAAATTTCACTACAAATGAACAACAAAGTACCGACCATACAGGTATACAATGAAAGCATGCAACAAAGCAAAAATCTCTTAGTTTACTACTCAAAAACTACTGCGGCTTTTTATCTTTTCTAAAACATCGTAGTGAAAGAAACTCGCATGAATTGAGAACGGCTAGAATACCGAAAACAGGGAATATATATGCTTAGAGAACCACTCGGAATGATTCGTTTGCATGGTGCCGGCAGAAGATGGCACCCGTTGAAGGGAGTCTGTTTTAAGTTACTATACCAGCTTTCCAGAGTCAGTCGTTGAAAGTGGTTAGTACGGTAGGTTAGGTATTGCACAGAGTCCCAGTCATCAGGCGGTGTGTTTCGGACTGGACTTAGAACATTCGACTGACTATAACAATTATTTTACTGACTCTGATAATGACTTCGAAACGTCAGTCACCAATACCGACAACAGTCGTTGTCAGACCTACACTCACTTGGACAATCAAACTACACTAAAGCATGTAACCCCGGGTTCAAACCATTTACTGTAAATGAGTAAAGTAGACTTGCAGCTTCCTTTGTGCTTTACAACAGAACGGAATACAGTCCAGGCTTCTTTATTTATTGTATTATAAAGAATCCGTCGAATTCTCTACTTATCACTTTCAATTCTCAAATCGAATGATAATTTTCGAGGCGAACAGAAGAGTTGTCAGCATGTTTTATACTCATGAAACACGCCAAAATAAGCTGATCAGTATCCTTTTTTAGAATATTTCAAATAATCTGATTGGTTAAATAGACCAATGGTGTCGAAAACTTCAAACCATCAAAGCTCATAACCCATCAATAAATCACTACCTTCAACGGTCCGGCAGGTCGAATTCAAAACTTTCGCTATTACTTTTTGAGGCTTAAAACAGAATCTGAAAGCGAAATTTTGAATGAAATGCAGCTGAGTTGTGCCTCATAAAAATACAATTTTTTTTTTATTATGACAATTGGGAAACAAACTGTTCAAAGCGCATGTTTAATGAATGAACGACAGCCGAATTTACAGGAACATGAAGATTGCCTGGGGTGAATCATAATCAGCTGCTTTGACTGATGTGGCTTTCAAAGCAAAACATCGGAAAGGATATTAGAGCGAGATCTTAGTAGTTCACTCGAAGACAGGACAATATAATTTCAGAGGCTTTCTTCACTGCGATGAGATCGTCATGATGAGCTAGTTGCGATTAACCTCAGCATAATCGCAGTCGCTTTGATGCCATTAGGATTTGTATAAATTTTGACCGTTATGCCAGTTTGGTTATAGTTTTCATCATACCTGTTTTGTTCTGATTTGTTTTTGAACACGAAACTATAAATACTATACGAGTGCTAGCTGCGTTTGAGTTTTACTACCGTACGTAAACTTACAAGCAAACTTGGACAGTCAATTTCTTTTTCTCTTTGGTAATTTGCGTCTTTGCCGGCTCACGTTGTATTGCGTCAATAGAGTGCTTAGCATGTTTACAAACCTTTGTTTCGTTCTTCTGTTGCTACTTGCCAGCTCCCATGTTCCAAAATTTCACTTTCAATTGCCGAAAAAAGGGTAGAGAAAAGTCCAGGAAGTGGTCGCACATCCTACAAATTGGCCGGATATTGTACAATTTGGCAGGTGGTGCGACGGCTTCAGCTCAGCTCCGTTTTTTGTACTCTGATATAACACGCTCTTTCAACCAATGACAGCGCGCGTTATATCGCAGCTTTATCGTTATTTTTTCCACAGATCATTAGGATAATGATTATTTCAAAAGTGACAACCATTACATCCCATATCTCAAGCGTGCTCCTCAAGTGTTCTACATGATCTATCATTTTTGGACCAATCACAAAAAATTATATGAAAACAAAATGGGTCTTTAAATTGTTAAAAAGATCCAGCCCTAAAGAAATAACGCAAGTAAACAGCAACATTTCGATACAAAAATCTCACCTTCTGCTCATTGCCATCTCTGTAGTGAAAAAAAAAAAAAAAAAAAAAAAAAAAA